GGGGGAGGGGCAGAGAGAGAGGGAGACACAGAATTTGAAGCAGGCTCCAGGCCCCAAGCTGTCAGCATAGAGCCTGATGTGGGGCGTGAACTCATGGACTGTGAGATCATGACCTGAGCCAAAATCAGATGCTTAACCGACTAAGCCACTTCTGTAACCATTTTTAAAAAAGATTTAGTTTGTGAGAGAGAGTGAGCATGTGCAAGTGAGTCAGGGGCAGAGAGAGAGAAAGAGGGAGAGAGAATCTCAGCACAGAGCCCGATGTGGGGCTCCATCTAATGAACCATGAGATCATGACCTGAACCAAAGTCAAGAGTCTGACACTCAACCAACTGAGCCTCCCAAGCACCCCTATTCTTTTGTAACTATTGATAACATACCCTATGTTCTTCCATTTCAAACTCCATAATTTTTGATATAACTACATTCTTTTTCATGGAGTTGTGTTATCATAGTTTACTATTCACTACTTTATTGTTGGATGTGTTTAATTTTTCCATTTTTTTAAAGATTGTAAATATGAGAACATATTTCATCTTTATGGCTTGATCTGTCTTTTGAAATATTCCCTTAAGGTAAATTTCCAAAAGAGGAATCACAGTTAAAGAGTGTGAATACAGCTTTTAAGACATCTTTCTAAATGATTTTCTGAAAAGATTGTAGCATAAATACTGCCATTAGCAAGGAATGAGTTCATGAGTTTCACTTTTACACTGACAGCTTTGGGTATCAGTATCAACATATTTGCATGTTTTGCTATTTAAGTAGAAATAAAAAGAGGGGATTTTTCCTGGGATGCGAGGAAATCTACCAGGGGTATATTTTCTTTTTTTAATTTTTTTTAACACTTATTCATTTTTTGATAGAGCATGAGTGGGGGAGGGGCAGAGAGAGAGGGAGACACATAATCCGAAGCAAGCTCCAGGCTCTGAACTGACAGCACAGAGCCCAACACGGGGCTCGAACTCACGGACCATGAGATCATGACCTGAGCTGAAGTTGGACGCTTAACTGACTGAGCCACCCAGGTGCCCCAACCTGTGGTATATTTTCTACCTGTGGTATAATAAATATATTTGGTCTTTGTTCTGTTCCTGGCACAGAGCCTCAAAAATCCTTGGAGTTTCCTGAATAATAGAAATGTCTTTTGTTATTTATTACAAACCCCTTTGGACCATAATCTAACGTTATAGTAACGAAGTGACTCATGGTGGCCCCTTAGTTGCAAAGGACAGGCTGCCACTCCAGAAGGACAAAGCATGTGATTAGAGGATTGGAACTTTCAGCTCTACTTCCCTCAGGGCAAGAGAGGGGGACTGGAGATTGAGTTCAGTCCTGTGGCCAGTGATTTAATCAGTCATGTCTCTGTAACAAAACCCCCATAAAAACTCTGGACAATAAGGCTCGGAGGATCTTCCAGGTTGGTGAACTCATGGATGTGCTGGGCAGGTGGCATGCCTGGATTTACAAAGACAGGGCATGGAAACTTTGTGCCCTTCCCCTCCTCAGACCTCGCCTATGCATCTCTTCCATTTGTCTGTTCCTGAATTATATCCTTTATAATAAAACTCTAATAGTGTAGTGCTTTCAGTGAGTTCTGGGAGTCATTCTGGTGAATTATTGAACCTTAGGGGGCTGTGGGAACTCCTGAATTTGTAGCCAGCTAGGCAAAAGTCCTGGGGAGTGGCTTGTGACACCTGGGCCTTGTGGCTGACATCTGAAGTGGGGTTAGTCTTGTGGACGTGAGTCCCTTCATCTGTGGGGTTTGCACTAACTTAGGGTAGTGTCAGAATTAAGTTGAATTGTAGGATATATACTTGGTGTCACAGAGTTAATGTTGGAGCACAGAACCCTTGCCTACTTTTTCTTTCAAGTGGGATTGAAGTGCTTGCTGTCTCTCTGAGCATATTCTCCTTCGTTTCACCACCACCAATCTCTAGGGGGTGGCCAGGTTCTATAGGTCACGGAAAAAACACTTGATCACCACTCAGACAGAGCACAAATGTGTCTTGGACTCCTGCCGTTCACTGGAAGCTGAGGGCTTTCAGGTCACATACCTCCCGGTGAAGAAGAGTGGGATCATCGACCTGAAGGTAGGAGTGGCTACTGGCAGAAGGGACAACATAGGAGGGGCTTGGTTTCAGCCTGTAAATTTGTGTTTTTAGCCTCAGTCAGAGCTTGAAGGACTAGACCTAATGGTGAGGGGGAACTTAGAGAAATAGGCCTGGGAGAGAAACTGAGCATATGTTTCCCCTTGAGTGTGTATTGTCTTCCTTTTCTCTGGAGGATTTGTTTCTCAGCTTTGTCAGTGCTTCCTGGTTTATATGAGGACCACTGGGTGTCTGTGCAGGATGCCAGGGACTCAACACTCACCATGGCAAAGCTCTGGCCTCCTCCTTCCCTGTACTTAGTTTCTCATCCCTCTAAAGAAGAGCTGTAGTTTTTGTGAAGAATATTTCCCTTTGTGGCCCATATCCTTATATGTACATTTTGGGTAGTGAGTTCATGCATCTTGTCCACCAGATTTTGGATACCAGCATCCCTAGTCAAATCCTAAGATACAGTTTGTAGACAGAGTCTTGTCATATGCAAGTAGAGATAATTTCATTTCTTTGTTGCCAACCTGGATGCCTTTTTTTCTTCGTGCCCAGTTGCCCTGGCAAAACCTACTAGTACAAAGTTGAATAGAAGTGGTGAGAACAGACACCCTGTTTTGCTCCTGATCTTGGATGAAAGCTTTGCCCATAAATATGATGTTAACTTTGGATTTTTCATAGTTGCTCTTGCATAAATGTCCTTTGTTAGACTGAAGAAGTTCTCTTCCAAGTTTTTTGATTTTTTTATTGTTGGTGTTGTTATCATGAAAGCATTTTGGTTTTATGAGTTTTTTTTGGTGCTTATTGAGGTAGTCATATGTTTTTTTTCTCTATTAATATGGTGTATACATTGATAGGTTGCTGGATTTGGTTTCCTAGTATTTTGTTAAAGATTTTTGTATGTCTATATTCATTAGGGATATTGATCTGTAGTTGTGTGATATCTTTGTCTGGTTTTGATATCAGGGTAATACTGGTCTCAGAATAGACATGTTGGTTCTAACCTACTGTTTCAGTATTGATGACCACTGCACCCTTCATACAACCCTCCACTTCAGCCACACTGCCTGCACAACTCCCTGATATGCCCTGGTCAGTCCTGCTGTGGGCCTGTTCTCACATATCCCCTCACCTTTGATCTGTTGTCCTTTTCTTTGCACATACCTTTTCTCCCTCTTTTAAAAAAGTTAACTCAAGCTCACTTCTTTGCTGAAGTCTTTTTGGATGCTCCAACCCCTTTAAATATTTTTTTTTTTTTTTTCCAAATTCCTTAAATTCCTTAATGGCTTTTTACTTTTGTGCTCTGTTGTATGTTTATGCCTATCTCTCCACTAGATTAAGTCTCTTGAATGCTAGGAGCACTTTTTTTCTGCCTTTTTATTTCTCATAATACTTCACATGTGTCTTTTTCCACCTCATAGTATTTATTATGCCTTAGCGTCTGGCACTAGGGACACAAGGATTAACAAGACAAGCTCAGTCCCTGCCTTCAGGGAGCTTACATTCTAGTGAAGAGTACAGTTAACATAGAAACAAATGAAATAATTACAAATTGGGATAACTGCTATGAAGGAAGCAAACAAGAAACTGAGAGAAACATGACATTGAGAACTTCTATTAGACCAGTGTCAGGGAAAGCAGGATGTTGGTAGGCTGATTAATAATTCCTTTAAGATAACATTTTAGTCAGATGAGGTCCCTGCCTCAGTGCTGTTACCAGTAACCTTGTTTTTTGCTACTTACTTTAGTTGTTTGCAGCTTACTCTGACCACCTTACATAGGAAAGGCTGTCCCTTTTTTAATTAAACTTGTAATTTTTAATAAAGATAGTTTTTATTATTATTTTTTTTTTATTTTAGAGAGAGAGAGCACAAATGGGGGAGAGGGGCAAAGGGAGAGAGAGAATCTCAAGTAGGTTCCACCCTCAGCACAGAGTCTGATGTGGGGCTTGATCCCACAATTCTGGGATCATGACCTCAGCTGAAATACAGAGCCAGATGCTCAGCTGGCTGAGCCACCCAGGCTATTTTTATTTATTTATTTATTTATTTATTTATTTATTTATTTACTTACTTACTTACTTACTTACTTACTTACTTACTTACTTACTTATTTGAGAGAGAGAGAGGGGTGGAAGGTAATGACAGAAGGAAAGGGAGAGAGAGAATCTTAAGCAGGCTCCACTCCCGGGGTAGAGGAGGACACGGGTATTGCCCCTAAACTTTTTAAATAATTGTAGATTCACATGTGGTTTTAAGAAATAATACAATGAGATCTCATGTACCCTTTACCCAGTTTCCCCCATGATAATATCTTGCAAAAGTGTAATCCAGTATCCAACCAGGTGTTAAAAATAAGCCCATCGACTCTATCAAAGGAGGGATGCAGAGACTCAGAGCACAGTGATGTGAGTCTTTTATCAGTGTTCTTCCAAGAGCGGGTATCTGATGGACAGTCATACTTAGGGCAGTTACAGCAGACAATTTATCTCCTAGCATGCAAGTCCCTCCCCTGGTTCCTCATTGGCTGAATACTACAGAGGTTACTGCCTTATCTGGACATTGCCTATGCACACGTAAGGCAAAAAGTAGTCTGGTTGCAACAAATGTACATTCCCTGAGGTGACGCAGAGACTTTCAGTCCCTCCTCCCTTTGTTCTTTGGTGCATACTCATCGCAAAGCCCGCAAAAATAAGCCCACGAAGCAGAGAGGGGAAGAAGAACCAGAAAGTGAAGTGTCTAAAGGTTTGGGACTCCATTGTGGAGGGGTGGGTTTCGTATATTTCCAGTGTGTTGTAATCCTATTGTTAATTAGATAGCAGAACTTTTATTTGGTATTTCTGAAAATGAATCATCTCCCTTATTTCTCACACAGGGTAATGACTTGGATAGAGTCTGCCAATCTTGTTCTCATTTCCCCAGTTTCACTTGTGCTTATTCGTCATGTGTAGGTTTGTGTAACTACCATCACTGTCAAATTATAGTTTCCTCACTGCAGTGATGCTTCATGTTCTGTTAAAACCACTAATTTGATCTCCATTTCTTTAATTTGTCATTTCAATAATGTTACATAAATGGAATCATAAAGTATGTAACCTTTCGGGACTGGCTTTTTTCACTTAGGGTAAGTCTCGCAAGTCATTTAGTTTGTTACGTGTCTCAGTAGTTTGTTCCTTTCTATCAGTTAGTCGTATTCCGTGGTATGGAGGCACCAGTTTGTTTAGCCAGTCACCCATTGAAGGACATCTGGGTTGTTTCTGGGTTTTGGCTGTTATGCCGAAAGCTGGTATGAACATTTATGTATAGGTTTTTCGTGTGAATCTGTTTTCATTTCCCTGAGATAAATGCGCAACAGTGCAATTACTACATCATAGGTAATCTCATGTTTAGTTTTATAAGAGGCAAAAACTGCCAGACTCTTTTCCGGTATGGCTGTATCATTTTACGTTTGTATTAGTAGTAATAACCAAGTGTTTCAATGATGTAGTTTCTTTGAATCCTTGCCAGCATTGTGTTGTCACTATTTTTTTTTTAACCACTCTGATAGGTATTTAGTAAAAGGCCCCATTTTAAGACTGAGCTTGCCTGTGTTCTGAGTTAGGGAGGATTTTGTTGGTACTATATAGTCTTCTTGCTCCTGATACTCTTAGGAACTAGAGGCTGCCATCCAGCCAGATACCAGCCTGGTCTCAGTCATGACTGTGAACAATGAGATTGGAGTGAAGCAGCCCATTGCAGAAATAGGTGAGTATCTTGGGTGGACCTTGATGCTTGCCCACCACTGGGATCCATCTGAGGAGCAGGAGTGGTCTCCTGGGAGTGGGAGGGAGATCAAGGGAAAGGGAGTTTCAGGTCCTTGTTTAAAGACCTATTGTATATGGCATAGCCAGTATTTGAATCCAGGTCTAGTATCCTTTATGTTCTTTTCATTTAACTGCAGTCGGTGCCGAAACAAAACACTACCGTTTTTTTCTCTTCCTCTTTCACCTTTGTTACTTTAGAACATCTTGTTATTGTGCTCACTTAGAGTCAGAGACTCACTGTAACTCCTAGGACACATTAGGAAAAGATCTGCTAATCTTTGCTTCCTGGAAATTAAAAAGGATGTAAAAGTCAATTTGATGTATTGAAAGACCAGTGTTAACAAGGTAGGAAGAGTTTTATGCATCAGGATATCAGGCATGTTTTGATTTGGTGATTTGTACTTGCCCTTATTTAATCAAGGAAGCTAGCTGAGAATGACAGAGTGAGAGGGAGAGAGGGACAGAGAGAGGAAGAGAAAGAGAGAAGTTATTTACTATATGGCTAGAGGCTAATGCCAGATGCAGTTTTGCTTTAGAACTCATGGTACATTGTTGGATCACTGCCAGGTGACTTCCCAGCATTGTGCTATGATTTCCCCTTTGTTGTCTCCTCAGGACAGATTTGCAGTTCCAGAAGGGTATATTTCCATACCGATGCAGCCCAGGCTGTTGGAAAAATCCCACTTGACGTCAATGACATGAAAATTGATCTCATGAGCATCAGTGGTCATAAAATCTATGGTCCCAAAGGTACCAGCCCCTCCTTGAGTTCCTTTGCTCAGACCTCCTATTAAAACCCTAGATAGATGTTCCTTGGACTCCTTTGGAATTACCATTGCTGTCAGAGGAAGTTGTACATTCATAGTGCTTTGCAGAATGCAGAATGCAGAATTGCTAATGCAAGTGTCCTTTAACAACAACCAAGAATGCTTGCCTATTTGTAGACTCTTGCAGCTAACTGTGTATAGCAGTCTGTTGTTGCATGGTCTCTTTAGAAAATCCTTAGAAGGCAAGTACTTTAATTTGGTTGAGGAACAAAGGGTTTTGTCATATCAAATTAAGCTAAATAAGTCCAGCTGTCTTGTCTTCCCCACTGTGATAGCAATGTTCTTTGAGTCCTTTATTCCCTATGTGTTTCTGTAGCCTGAGGAAGATTGCACTTTTATATCTCTTGGTATATATTACTTTTTTTATTTTTTATTTTTTTTTAATGTTTGTTTATTTTTAAGAGAGAGAGGGAGAGAGAGAGCCGGGGAGGGGCAGAGAGAGAGGGAGACACAAAATCTGAAGTAGACTCCAGGCTCTGAGCTGTCAGCACAGAGCCTGACGCTGGGCTCAAACTTACAAATCACAAGATCATGACCTGAGCCAAAGTCGGACACTCAGCTGACTGAGCCACCCAGGCGCCCCTCTTGGTGTTTATTCCTAGATTTAATAGTCTGTATTCCTGTTAGCCTCTCAAGAGTGTGTTTCCTTTGGTCCTATTGGCCTAGGAATGTTTCCTAGCTAGAATTCTGTCTTGTCACTCCAATCTTTGGGAAGAGACTTTTGTTTTCTATTTTATGGAGGTAGCCATAAAAACAAACAACAACTCCTCTGTCTCTGGGGTGAGGGCCTATGGGGGTTGATAATGCTGGTACACATTCTGTGTACACCCTGAGCTGCACACCCTGAGGAAAAAGCTGTGATAGCTCCTGGAAGTATGTAAGATACCTTCTTTTCAAGGTTCCCGGAGGTTATAAAGAGTGTTTTTGTGAGCTATTATTGAAAGAAAAAATTTTTTTAACGTTTATTTATTTTTTGAGAGAGAGCATGAGCGGGGGAGGGGCAGAGCGAGAGGGAGACACAGAATCCGAAGCAGGCTCCAGGCTCTGAGTTGTCAGCACAGAGCCTGACGTGGGGCTCAAACTCACAAACTGAGATCATGACCTAAGCCGAAGTC